TACCTTATTGCGGTTTAATTTACATTCCCTGATGACTAATGTTAGTATATTTTCATGGGCTTACTGGTCATTAATATATCTTCCTTTGTGACATGTCTCTTAAACTTTTCTTCCAGTGATATATGTGTTACAGATAATTTCTCTCAGATTCATTCTCTTAATGGTGTATTTTGCACAACTGTTTTTAATCTTGATAAAGTCCAATTTAACAATATATTGTTTTATGACTATGCAAAATATTAAAAAATGTTTGCATACTTGAACATCACAAATATTTTCCTTGATGCCTTCTTCTGAAGTTTAATAGTTTAGCTCTTTGATTTGTCTATGATCCATTTTAACTTTAATTCATATCACATAATAAAATTAAGTTTTGGAAGTCATCTTTTTGCATGTGGATTGTTACAGCACCATTTACTGAAAAGACTAATTCTTATAAAGCTGATTTTTTGTGTATGGTGCTAGGTAAGGATTGATGCACATTTTTTTTTTTAATTGAGGTGCTCAGCTGATCCAGCATTTGTTGAAAAAACTTCATTTTCCTCTTTGAACTGACTTAGCACAATTGCAGAAATTCAACTTCTGATATATGTCAGGGACTATTCCTGTACTCTCTACTTTGTTCCATTGATCTGTTTGTCTTTTTGCTGTATTGGTTATTGTAGCTACACAGTAAGTCTTAAAATCATGTAGAGTAGGTACTCCAGTGTGTGTGTGTGTGTGCTGGTTATTCTAGGTCTTTTGAATTTCATAGAATCATTTAGAATTAGTTTGTCAGCTTCTATAAAAATTCCCTTGAGATTTTGGTTGGGATTGCTTTGAATCTACAAATTTGGGAAGAATTGCCACATTAGCAATAGGCTTCCAATACATGAATACATTCTATCTCTACATGTATTTAGGTCGTTTTTAGTTTCTCTCAGAAAATGTTAAATTAGATAAATCTGTAACTACTTTAGTGTGTTGCTATTATAAATGCCATTGTTTTATTATTATATTCTATTATTTATATTATTTATTATTATTTATTTGCTGATAATGGATGAAAATGCAATTGATAGTTTGGATAATGTTAGCCTTGTATCCTGTGACTTTCCTAAATTTCATTATTTCCAGTAGCTGTTTTGAAGATCCTCTGGGATTTATATTTAATGTAAACAATGGTATCTGCATGGAGGGGCAGTTCCACTTCCTCCTACTGGCTTTTCCTTTTTTGGACTGTTTTGAAATGGCTAATACATTCAGCACAGTGTTGTATAACAATGATAAGTGACCATCTTTGCCTTGGTTCTGGCGAAAGAAGGGAAATAATGACCATTATAGATGATGTTGCTTGTGCTGGTTACTGGTTACCAGGGGATTAATGACCATGATAGATGACGTTGCTTGTGCTGGCTACTGGTTACCAGTGGATTGCCTCTTGTCTCCAAATCTGCCTTTCTTTCCCTGCTTTGTGATACCAGAGCTGTGCCCTGAGAACAGCTCTCATCTGCCAGCTGGCACTGTGTTAAGCTTTGCCAGTTGCTGTGGGTGCATTAGTGGAGGAAGGAACGGTTTCTCTTGGTCCCTGCTACTGGGTCACATGGCTGCCAGCACCGTGCAGGATGTCAGATGGCATCGCCCTCCTCAGAGCTTTCTAGCACCTCCTGGGGTGACTTCCAGATTCGCCAGCACTCCACACACACATTCCTGGTTGACAGCTCTGAATGGCAGAACCTCGGCAAGCATTTCCACTGTCCAGTCGACCGCTAGTTACTCTCTCCCCCAACAAGTTCTGAATCTCAGTTTGGTGGGAGCAGTCTTTATTATATTTTCCTTCTTTGGGTACTCTACCCTGCCTTAAAACTGCTCTGCATTTCTACTGTTCCTGTGTTTTTAAACTTCTCTTTACCTCTTTGTGGTTAATCCTCTGCTAGTCATTCTTTTTTTTTTTTCTTTTTATCTCAGATTCAGTAAGGTGAGGTGTCGAACTCTTGTAGTGCAGGTGATGGTTACTAAACCTTCAAACTTATTCAAGGTAATATGAAATAGGAGTATGTAACTATTAAACCAAATTCAGATTTTCTTGCTTCCTAACACAAAATAATGCTCATCAAGCATATCTTACAAGAAAAAAATGCTTGGAGATAACTCTACATTAAATTTTTCCCCGTCAAATTACTGGTGCAGTTTCTGTCTCCTGACTGGAACTTGACCAATACATTGATTGTACTTTTTTTTGTTTTTGTTCTTATTTTTTCATAAATGTCCTTTATCAGTTAAGTTCTCTACTGTTACTGGTTTGTTGAGGGTTTTTTTAAAATTAATTAATTAATTTATTTTTGGCTGCATTGGGCCTTCGTTGCTATGCGTGGGCTTCCTCTAGCTGCGGCGAGCAGGGGCTACTCTTCTATGCAGTGCACAGGCTTCTCACTGCGGTGGTTTCTCTTGTTGCGGAGCACAGGCTCCAGGCGTGTGCGCTTCAGCAGTTGTGGCCTGTGGGCTCTAGAGTGCAGGCTCAGTAGTTGTGGTGCATGGGCTTAGTTGCTTCGCAGCATGTGGGATCTTTCTGGACCAGAGCTCAAATCCGAGGCCCCTAAATTGGCAGGCGGATTCTTAACCACTGCGCCACCAGGGAAGTCCTATTGAGGTTTTTATTATGAATTATGGTTTAATTTTACCAAGTGCTTGTTACGCATCAACTGAAATGGTGGCACTTTTTTCTGTTTTCTATTAATACGGCCAATTTGATTAGTTTATAAAATGTTACTCTTTTGTTGCGTTCTAGGATAAAGTCTACCTGATTATAAGGTACTGTCCTTTCACGTTGGTTGGTTTGACATTAAGAATTTCTGTGTATATACACAAGTAATTTTGGTGTGTAATTTCTTCTATTGGTAAACTTTTCCAGGTTGTGCTGTAAGGGTAATTTCAAAAACTCAAGTAGAACAGTGTTCCCTCCTCCTCTGTTTCTGAAGCAGTTTATGCAATTTTGGTGTTATTCCTTTGACAAAATTCAGCAGAGAAACATCTGTGTTTGCAGTTTTCCTTGGTAGATCCTTAAAAAAAATTTCAATGCATTTTCTAGATTCGTGGCTATTCAGATTTTCCATTTCTTCTGGTGTCAGTTTTAGTAAAATATTTTCCAAGATATCCACTTAATCTGTTGTCAGATGTGTTGGTTCAAAGTTGAAGTAATATTATTTTGAATCCTCTTAATGTCTGTACAGTCTGGTGATAAATTATTTTTCATTTTCGACATTGGTGATTTGTATTTTCTATTTTTCTAGCTAAGGTTTTTTCAATTTTCTTTTTTTTCAAAGACCACACTTTGTCTTTATTATATTCTCAATTATCTTTTTTTTAAAACTGCATTTCTTTTATTTCCCTACTTATATTTACTTTGGGCTTATTCTGCTCTTTTTCTAGCAATTTAAGTAAAATGTAAGGTAGCTGAGTCAGCTCTTTTGTTTGATAAAGATTTTCCCTCCCAATACTATTTTATCTGTGTCACACATTTTGTCACAATTTAGTTGTATTTTGTAGTCATTTAGTTGGAAATATTTTCTACTTTGTCTCCTGGTTTCATCTTTGACATAAGAATTAAGAATTGTGTTTGATGCAAACATTTGGGGTTTCTATAGTGATTTTATTACTGTTGACATCTCCTTTTACTGTATTGTAGTCAGAATATACTCTGCATGATTTTTATCCTCTTACATTTATTGAAACTTTTTTTCTTTTTTCAATTTGGGTTTGTTTCCCCATACCTGAGCCATTAGTAAATAGAAGAAAGCATCACCCATGACCATTTACTAAATTTTAGATGCTGGGCAAGTCATTTAACTTTGGCAAGGTATATAGTAAATATATGCATACTTGTTTTAAATATGTATGCATATATATGTATATACATATATAATCTATATTTCTTGAAATGGTAGAATTTGAATATTTGTTATATTTAATTTTATTCAGTAGTTTTTTTCAAACATTGCTGCATGTTGTCTAATATGACTATTTTCTCCACACTAAGCACAACTGAGACAAGTCTTTATAGACCTACTACTATAAAAGGAAAAACTTACCTTCTCATAACTAACAATACTATTCTGTAACTATGAATAGGAATTGAAACACACTTGCTGTGTTGCTAAAGGTTTAATTCACCATGGTGATTATGATTTAATAAAATGCATATGTGAAATGTGTTTATGAATGTATTAGTCCTCTTCCAGCAGCCTATGCACATTTCCTAGTGTATAAATATAAACATTAACTCTTAAAATTTAGATCTGATTGGCACAGTACTAATATTTATGCTACTATCTGCCCCAAAATTAAGCCAATAAATTCATTTTTTTTTTTTTTTTTTTTTTTTTTTTTTTTTTTTTTTTTACATTTTTTTTGGGGTTTTACTGCCCCATAATGTGGCTTTAGTTTCTTTTTTATAACAAAGGGAATCGGTTATACATATACATATGTTCCCATATCTCTTCCCTCTTGCGTCTCTCTCCTTCCCACCCTCCCTATCCCACCACAAAAAGGCAACCCTCGGAATGGGAGAAAATATTTGCAAATGAAGCAACTGAAAAGGATTAATCTCCAAAATTTACAAGCAGCTTATGCAGCTCAATATCAAAAAAACAAACAACCCAATCCAAAAATGGGCAGAAGACCTAAATAGACATTTCTCCAAAGAAGATATACAGACTGCCAACAAACACATGAAAGAATGCTCAACATCACTAATCATTAGAGAAATGCAAATCAAAACTACAATGAGATATCATCTCACACCAGTCAGAATGGCCATCATCAAAAAATCTAGAAACAATAAATGCTGGAGAGGGTGTGGAGAAAAGGGAACACTCTTGCACTGCTGGTGGGAATGTGAATTGGTTCAGCCACTATGGAGAACAGTATGGAGGTTCCTTAAAAAACTACAAATAGAACTACCATATGACCCAGCAATCCCACTACTAGGTATATACCCTGAGGAAACCAGAATTCAGAAAGAGTCATGTACCAAAATGTTCATTGCAGCTCTATTTACAATAGCCCGGAGATGGAAACAACCTAAGTGCCCGCCGTCGGATGAATGGATAAAGAAGATGTGGCACATATATACAATGGAATATTACTCAGCCATAAAAAGAAACGAAATTGAGCTATTTGTAATGAGGTGGATAGATCTAGAGTCTGTCATACAGAGTGAAGTAAGTCAGAAAGAGAAGGACAAATACCGTATGCTAACACATATATATGGAATTTAAGAAAAAAAAAATGTTATGAAGAACCTAGGGGTAAAACAGGAATAAAGACAGAGACCTACTGGAGAACAGACTTGAGGATATGGGGAGGGGGAAGGGTGAGGTGTGTTAGGGCGAGAGAGAGACATGGACATATATATACTAACAAACGTAAGGTAGATAGCCAGTGGGAAGCAGCCGCATGGCACAGGGAAACCGGCTCGGTTCTTTGTGGCTGTCTGGAGGGGTGGGATAGGGAGGGTGGGAGGGAGGGAGACAAAGAGGGAAGAGATATGGGAACATATATATATGTATAACTGACTCACTCTGTTATAAAGCAGAAACTAACACACGTTTGATAGGGATTGCATTGAATCTATAGATTGCTTTGGGAAGTAGAGTCATTTTCACAATGTTGATTCTTCCAATCCAAGAACATGGTATATCTCTCCATCTGTTTGTATCATCTTTAATTTCTTTCATCAGTGTCTTATAATTTTCTGCATACAGGTCTTTTGTCTCCTTAGGTAGGTTTATTCCTAGATATTTTATTCTTTTTGTTGCAATGGTAAATGGGAGTGTTTTCTTGATTTCACTTTCAGATTTTTCATCGTTAGTATATAGGAATGCCAGAGATTTCTGTGCATTAATTTTGTATCCTGCTACTTTACCAAATTCATTGATTAGCTCTAGTAGTTTTCTGGTAGCATCTTTAGGATTCTCTATGTATAGTATCATGTCATCTGCAAACAGTGACAGCTTTACTTCTTCTTTTCCGATTTGGATTCCTTTTATTTCCTTTTCTTCTCTGATTGCTGTGGCTAAAACTTCCAAAACTATGTTGAATAAGAGTGGTGAGAGTGGGCAACCTTGTCTTGTTCCTGACCTTAGTGGAAATGCTTTCAGTTTTTTGCCATTTTTATAAAGTTATTTAACTCCACGGAAAATGTGTTTTGCAACTAGTATGTACAAGAAATCATGTTAATTTATATGGGCAACAAGATTACTAGGTTTTGCCTGGTTTTCCAGGAGCCTCCTCTCGAAGAGAGAGCAGAGGGAGAAAAGACATGTTTTTAAAGCAGGAGAACATGAATAATATGGCGCCCCATGTGACGAGAACAGAGTGCGTGTAAAGATAGGGAGATGTGCCTGGATCTATTCCGTGGACTAATCATGAGTACTCCGAATGGCAGTGCAGGACGCAAAGGAACTTTGGGCTTAAGTTAGAGCCATGGTTTGTAATGACCGGTCCAGTGGGCCTTTTCCCAGGCCACCTGCACCACACCCGTGGCCATCACCCCATCCACCATCCGGTTACTTTTTCATGGAAGGAAAGACAAATAACTCAGAACTTGGTGTTAAATGTTGCCAGTCCCTGAGCGATAAATGGAAATTTATTTGGAACATGCTATGCACCATTAATTCTATTGTTTTAGTATATTCAACAGCATTAAAAGCTATCAATAATTAATTGTTGGAACAACCCCCCTCCTAAAAAAAAGGAAAATCATTACTTTCTTTCATATGAATTAAATCCAAGTCGGAAGACTAGTGAAATTCAACAAGGTTATTGATCCTTTGATATTTGTTTGGCGTCCCTTTTGGGAAGAAATGCCTGAACAGGGAGGTAAATCCTTTTGGAAACAGGAAGTGCATCATTTTAATCTCCTTCTGGTGTTACTGAAACGAATGCTGTCGCTGCTAGAAATAGAAAATGGATTTGTTCCTGCAGTTTCTTTCCCGCAGAATTTATTCTAGCTCACTGTATCTATTCCAATACTCATGCACTAGTATTTTTTTTTTTTTTTTTTTTTTTTTTTTGCGGTACACGGGCCTCTCCCTGTTGTGACCTCTCCCGTTGTGGAGCACAGGCTCCGGACGCACAGGCTCAGCGGCCATGGCTCACGGGCCCAGCCGCTCCACGGCATGTGGGATCTTCCCAGACCGGGGCACAAACCCGTGTCCCCTGCATCGGCAGGCGGACTCTCAACCACTGCGCCACCAGGGAAGCCCATGCACTAGTATTTTAAATGCTATAGATTAACTGTAAGGTAATGTGAAAGATCCTGTAACATCTTCTCTGAGGATGGAAGTCAGAAATACGTTCCGGGCTTCCCCATGATACTGGAAAGGCAGTGACGACGGTCTTCCCCAGTTCTCTTCAGAACAATAAGATGGTCCATAAACTGCATTTTGGATCTACTACTTTAGCTAAAATAATAACAGACACAACAAGTAATAATTTAACCGCTCCTCAAGGCAATGCTTCTGGCTATGAAACTCACACATCAAAACCTGCTTCTCTTGGATATAAGAGAAGCTAAGTCGAAGAGCAGAAGGATTCAGAAATAAATACACATGAAGAAAACCCTATTCTGAGATTTTTGCTCACCTCCCCAGCCAGAATATAAATTAGGCCTCAGCTCTATCAGAGCACCGTATGCGTCTTGCCCCCTCTTCCTCTTCGGCTAAAGCCCTCTCAGATCTTTCTCCATTTAGGATGCTCGGTTATAGACCACCTGAGTTTCAAGCTGTGCAACAAGCAAGGCTGAATTCACTGAATTTCCTGATTCTGGGGGAGAACACTGTATTCATGAGTCTTAGTAGTACCTCAAAAGGGATAAGTAGGGAAGGGTATTTATAAGATATGGGCTTGAGTTCTTTAAGATGGATCTTTCCAGATGAAGGTTAGTCACCTAGAGTAGACCCTGTGAATGGTCTCCAGATTAGTTTGTTTTGTTTCAGACACAGGAACCGCTGATGTGACCCTTGGCAACTTGGCAGTTCCTGCAAAATCCAGTCCAGCTTCATACTGTAGTGATCTGTCATCATTGTGCATATTCTAAATGATCATAGTACCCTAAGAGTTGTCCAAAGATGAACTAACCAAGAGAAACCTTATGGAAATAAGCTACCAAATTTTATATATTTTAGAAGATCAGTACTAATTTTTTCAGTTAGCAAATATTATTTTGTTATCCCGTAGTGGGAATCCCGTAGACATTGGTCTAGGTATGGGGGGTGAAGTGATAAACCAGAAGAGACAGAATGAAGACTCTCATGGAGACAAAATAATAAACAATTAAAAATGTACAAGCAAATAACATACTCTTCAATGATGCATATGCTGAGAAGGAAATTAATCGAGGTTAAAGTGATAGAGAATGACTGGGGTGATGAAGGGCAGATTGAGGGGATGCCCTTTGAGCTGTAAGATATTAGTCATAAGGTGGTCTGGGGAAGAGCATTTCCAACACAGGGACCACCAAGCAGTGCACCCAGGTCCTTATTGCTAACACTCCACATTTTCAGGGTGGTTGTTCGTGGAATGGGCCGTAGATGGGGAGGGAGAGTGTCACAGTGCTTCCTGGAAGCAGCATCCAGTTTGAAACCTAGTAGTGGAGTCTAGTTGACGTGTGACTCACCCGGATGTTTTCACGCCATGTTCATGGAGAGATACTTTATCAAAAAGATCAGTGTTACATATTTAGAAACCCAGAAGAACGACAGGATTGCCATATGTTTGGCTCTATTAAATAATATTGGAATCCTCTCTGGTTTCTATTTCATTTCCATCTGGAATTTGAATATTTTTTGGTAAAACCTGTATCAATTTCTATACTTTATCCAAGGAAAGAAGTTAAAAGCACCTAATGATTTTATATATATTTATCTCTTTCTGTAGAAGTGTGCACAGTAGCTGGGGTAAATCAAAATGGCAAAAGAGCAGATGGCGATAACAAACATACAGCTTGTCTTCGTTTCCATAAAAAGTTTGTAACATGTTTCAAATTTTTAAAAATCATAAAATTAGTCATAAATCTCTTTCTAAAATAACAAGCCTAAAGTATAATCAATTAATAAAAATTTAGAAACCTATTAGAAATCATTTATGGAGTGTTAAGGACTATATCAGGTAAAATTTTTAAGAACTGCTTTGAATAAATTTGCCATTGGCTTTTAAATAGGCCTATTATTAGTATCCAACATAAGATTAAATCAAACTAATTAAAAGTTGATCAGATGTCAGCAGCTCAAGAGACAAAAATGAATTTCTTGTCTAACTTTTTCCTTTGGATTCTCAAAATAATGCAGGGTAGACATGCACTTATGCTGGAATTCTGGGAAAAAAAAACAAAACATAGTCATGATCTTTCCCACATGATAAATGACAGATGAATCAAGATACTTCTAAAGTAGTATTAACTCAATATTAGCCGACTCTCAGATGGTGGGGTGTCTATTGTAGACTCATTAATTACTAGACCCTGTTTCTTATACTTTAGGTTTTGTTTTTTTAACTATGGTCTATTGAACAGTATCAAATGTTATTTTGCTGACATGGAGGAATGAAAATTCTTTTATTTAGTGTAGTTTAGCATCATCAGTACAGAGGGAGAGCATAAAAGAGTGGTTTGTAACCAGCTTAAATATTTTTCTTATAGAAATTAAATAGTGTTCTTGGGCTGCACTGAATATCGGGGGTGGTGATTTGCTTCAAATCATCTCCATGTGAAGTTCAGAAGGAAAGGGGTAGGTGGGGCCCCTTCTTTGTTTGTTTGTTTGTTTTTTTCCTGAAGAAAAATACTTGGAAGCTCAGGGTGGACTTAAGGGATGGGTCAACCATTCCTCTTGCTTTTTCAAGTCTCAAAATACTTAGATGTAGAATGTGGAACTTGAGCACAAAAACAAGACTTTTTGGTTACGTGGCTTACTTTGAGTTGATTTTTACCAGCCACAAAGGAAGCCCTTTCTAGGCTGGCTTCTAAGCAG